GATCTTCCCCTCCCTCCCAGGTTTAAAAGCCTGGCAGGGAGGGGGAGACTCCGAGCGGCCGCGGCGCGGGCGCCGCTCCTCCCCCTCCCTCCCAGGCTCTCAAGCCTGGGAGGGAGGGGGAGCAGCGGCGCGAGAAACAGCTGTTTCGCGCGCCGCGGCCGCTCGGGATCTCTCCTCCTTCCCAGGCAGCAGCAGCGGAGGTGAGCTAGGGCGGCCCGCGGCACATTTTTAGGGGCGGCATTCTGGCGCCGGCCATGCCGCCCCTAAAAATGTGCCGCTCCAAGCACCAGCTTGTTTGGCTGGTGCCTAGAGCCGGCCCTGATTATCTATTAAATAAGAAACAGCTACAGAATTCACCCAAGATCTACTGCAATCACATTCTGGGATCTGGAAGACAATATGTTCCAATGGATACAAAATGGGACTGGAAGTCAGGAGGACTGCAGGGGTTTTCCTGGTAGTATGTAACCTTGGGCAAGTCACGTTAGCCAAACTTTTCCGAAGTGCACCTCGTTATGGGAAGCTGCAATCTGAGACATGTATGTGGGGGCCTGATTTTCAGAGATGGAAGAACCCACAATAGCAGTTGATCTCAACTGGATATGTGAGTACTCAGCACCTTGGAAAATCAAGTGTTATATTCAAGTACTGCACAAATGCAATTTAATATAAAATAAAAATGGAGACACCAATAACTTGTGGACACTGAAAATTTGGGCCATAACTTCTTTCCACCTCCTCTCCTCTTGTGTAAATCATTCTTTGTTAAATGCTGTCTAATTTATGATGAAAAATGCTATATAGTTGCTAGGTATTATTCAAATGCACATATGAGATTATTATAAAGTACATTTAGATAACCTATATTAGTAGTTTGGTTTTGAAATGTAGACATAGGGTAAAATATCTGCCACAAAAGTCCCTTTAAGAAGTGTGTTAAATGCCTAATCTGTGTTTTTATGGCCTAATTTCCTGTCCAGGATCAGCCTACAAGAACTCCAAACTGAATGGAACAAAAGTGGCAAAAGCAAAAGCCTTATCTCAAGAAGTTTCTCACTTGCTGAAGTGTATGCTCTAGATCAGGGGTCCCCAATGCAGTGCTCGCGGGCGCCATGGACGAGCATCCGCTGAAATGCCGCCGCCGAGCAGCGTCATCCAGAGGTGTCGCAGCAGAAATGCAGCGGATGACGCTGCTCGTCGGCGGCATTTCGGCAGCGACGCCTATTGACGTTGCCGCTTGTCGGCGGCATTTTGGCAGATGCTCGTCCGCTGCCACGGTCCTCCGTGGCTCTTCGTCTGGTGCCCACCAGACAAAATAGGTTGGGGACCACTGTTCTAGACTGTATATTGTAACATCATAGCCACAACACAGTAATGGCAAAACAATAAGTCCACCAAGCATTAAGTGAGTTCAGCACGAAACCTTTTTTCATACCCACTGAAACAATTTGGTAATATTGGTCCCAGTTCAGCAAGGAACTTAAGCACATGCCTAACATTGCCTTCAATGGGACTATTTATGAGCCCAGTGGTTTTCAAAATTTTTGTATTGGTGACACTTTCACATAGCAAACCTCTGAGTATGACACCCCCCCTTCTACATTAAAAATGAGGAAGGGTAATTTAATTTAATTTAATGAGGGCTCTGGGCTATCAACGCCACAGAACTGACAGCTCGCGATCCCCATGTAACCACCTTGCAACCCCCTGAGAGGTCATGACCCCCAGTTCGAGAACCCCTGAGCTAAAAGTTAGGCATGTGCTTAACTAACTTGCTGAATTGGGACCTCATAGTTGGACTTTTATTTAAATATTAATTGATATTTGAACAGCAAAAATATCAGCATTTTTAAAATGAATCCTTAATTGAAAAGAATACTTTCATATAGCTATACACGTTAAGGTAATCTTTAGGAACTATCCCATTTAATTCGTCCTTCTACATATGGTGTATAGACTCTGGGCCAAATTGTGGGTCCTTTTCCCACTTTTGTCCCCAAACAAGTGCAAAGTACAAGTGTGAAAATGTGCAGAATCTGGTCATGTGTGGTCTTCTGCATTGACACCCACGCACATTGCTTGTACCAGGAGCATAAATAATCTGAACTGGGAAGGGCACACAGTGTCCACGGGCAGATTGAAGTGACCATGCCAAAACACATGGACCATATCGCAGGACCATTTTGCCCTACCCTGAAATGGACCTCCATGATTTAATACATGGAAGACACTGCAGGTTCTGTGGAGTGTAAACTGATCGGGTTTGAGAGGAGCCAGGACTGAGGTGTAACTATATTTATGGGGTTAAAATGTCCAGGAAAAGAAAATCTTTTAAGAGAGTAATTTTCTTGTAGACAGAATGTGTCTCTAATCAACATGACCTGCTGCCTATTACACACATCCACAATACAGATGCATTATTGCAATAGCAGAATTAAATGAATGCTTAAGATATTAGTACTGTGTAACTTTAAAAAACCCCACCCTCTTTACATTTAAAGACATTTCCCTGTGGTTATGTTCCTTCTTCTGATTTTTTGAAGCAATATTTGTCTATATGATGAAACACATTGAAGACATTAAATTAAGGGTCAAATATGCCTGTGTCTGGCAGGAAGAAAATTGTGATGCCATTAAAAGGCCATTAAGGAACCCCCTATGGAATGTTAAACTCTAAAGGCTCTATTCAGAAAGCAAAGCCAAAAGTAAAAAGGTGTCTGGTTGCAGATCCTCTGCAGACGTCCACTGCTTGACTACAGTACCATGGAGACTGTTAGGCAGGAGCTGAAAGTCTTTCCCAGTCATGCATGTGGTATTTTGAATCATGGCATTGGCAAAAGCCCCTTTTATACGGGCATACATAGAAGTGTCTGCACTGCACTACATAATATGCATCTAATGGAACTGAGCACATACTTATTGAAACAATGGCAACAATGGAGGTAGAAAGTTCTCCAAAGCTAAGTAATAACTCTGGCTTTAAGTATATCTGTGTATTTTGCCATGTTCTCTATATCTCATATTTAGAGAGAGAAGCAGGGTTGCTGCCTCTGACAGTCAAGTCGAAATCCTCAGGCCCCACTTCTTAAAATAAATTAATTACTGGCCATAGTACGTTTGCAAATATAGGGCCAGATCCTCAGCTGGTGTAAACTGGTGTAGTTCCATTTAAGTCAATCATATTTTCAGAGCAAAATCAATTAAGGAACCAGAAGCAGGGTCTTTTGGTACTAGCTGCCAAGCTTCCCAGATGACTGCTCAGCCCTTACAATAAAGTCTCTCTCTCTCTCATCTGCAATTTGAATGCTAACAAAAATATTAGTGGCGGTGGTATAATAATGTAGGCAAATTCTGATTGTTTTTCTAGGAATTCCCCTGATGACTGCAGCGTGGCAAAAGGAGGGAAGATGGTCAGTGGCTCAGATAATGTCGGGATGAACTATGGAAGCTATATGGAAGAGAAACATGTTCCACCACCAAATATGACAACTAATGAACGAAGAGTGATTGTTCCAGCAGGTTAGAAGCTTTAAAAGAACCCCCCCACACACACCCTTTTAAGTAGCAAAATCTGTTACTGATATTACTAGGAAATCTGTTAACCTGATAAGATTGAAAGATTACCCATTTTTTTTATTAAACTAGATATGCTACATGTAAAAGACAAAGACAGTCTGATAAGAGAGATTAGGAAGAAAGACTACTAAACTCCCAGAATTGTTACGAAGAATGAGTTGAGAAATATAAAAATAAAGCCACCTCATCAGCCAATGCTGCCCACATTTTGGAGGTTTCAGATGCCTGCTGCCCAGGGAGTTTTCCCTAGCAGCCACTTGCTCTCCCCCAACCATAGAGGCTACAACTGTCACTGACTCTTGTGCAGAGTACACAAGAGGAAGAAATGTTCCTTGCACAATTTCACCTCCCTGCAAGTGACAGACGCAGTCTGGTCCTAAGCATAATAAAAAGAGGCCCAATTTGTGAAATTAAGCAATGTATAATAATCCATTTGTTTAGATTATTCTCTGTGTTTGAGCAGTGTAATAAATTTTAATAAGCAAACTGACAACTCCCTGTAAGACAATGGCGCGGCTGATACATTCAGTAGCTGGTAGCAACCTTTATTATGGAATTCAGAAGGTAATTGGACAAGGGGGCATTCACTACTTTGTGCCCTGTCTTCTTTGGGTACCTCAGGTGCTGTGAATACGCTTCATATTGCAGAATGATCAGCATGCACACGCCCAAACTCAAAACAACAGACAATCATGTTGCAATATAAATATATACACAGGACATCTAAATCATGTAGACAGAAGAGTATAATTTGCTATTAGTTATTGATCTGCAAAAATGACTTTGTATGAAACGTTCCTGCTGCTGCCACATTGCATAATGTTTTTACAGTTATTCAGTTGCTAAGCTCTGCAAGAGTACTAGCTGTGGCTAATTTTGCAAGCTGTAATTACATCGGTTATTTGTCAAGCAACATACACACACACACACACACACATATATATACACACACACACACACACACATTGCACAATCCTCCACATGTATTTAGACAAGGCTTTTTCTAAACTGTAGCAAAGAGATTTTTTCAGTGATAAAGTCTTCTGCAAAATTGGAAACAAGCAGCACTGAACATGATAGCATTCATATGTAACTTTGCAAAATGAACACTTCTCTCAATGTTAGCTCTTGACTTTTCCGATCTTTTAATTACCATAGGCTTGTAAAGGTGATACAGATGTCTTTCCTTCTAGCATCTCCCTTGAGATATATTTTGAGATGAATCTAAATGTGAACTAGGGAGCAAGATGATCATAGTTACAACCAGTTATTTTGTAAACTATACAAAAAATACTTGGGTGAAGCTCGTCTGTCAGACATCTAGGTGTTTTCATTTCTCTTCCACAAGTGCAGTGTACACGATGATGTGGCAAAGCTTAGGAAAATCAGAACACAGGATTTATAATTTGCAGTTAAATTAATGACAGAGTTCAGAACTCCTATTCAGATTCATCACCAAAAATAAGAAGCATTTCAAAAATTTGTACATATAATAAAATGGTTGGCGAACCTCCGAAGGTTTGGATGTTCACTTCAATTTAAACTGAATTTAACTGGTGGACTTCTTGTGTTATCCCAGTCAGGACTGGGCAACCACTGATGCTCTCATAATGAACTCTAGTTCTAGCTCCCCACATCACCCATACATCCTTTCTTCTCTCAGTAACCAGACCCCCTATCCATGAAGATCATCAAGGTCCCTCAGACTAGCATCCATGCCCACTAGGCTGTGAGCTGCCTCACACTTCCCAATAATCTGATCATTCTGTCTCTGGTGTGCTTCAAAATATAGGAGGGATCTCTAAAGTTCCCGAGAGCTAAGGGCTCAGACCTTCAAAGGCTTAAAATGGATGTAGCATAACTAAACGGGAAGCCCAGGATGCATGGAAGTTGAAGTGAGCAGCTGCATATTGTCTAAAAGACTTTGATGAGCACCGTAGACCTTTGAGAATGGCTTTGGGGAGCAGATTGGGTTAAAACTGATTAGGAGAGGAAGGGAGGTTTTGAGATTCAGACACTCACTGCACAGACATGCAGAAGGTCAAAGTTCAATTCCCAGCTCTGCCATGGGATTCCTGTGTGACCTTGGGCAAGTCACATAATCTCTTTCTTTTCAGTTCCCAATCTTTGGGAACGATGTATCTTATATGATCTTTTGTCTGTTTAAAATATAAGATCTTCAAGGCAAGAATTGTCTCTTACTATCTGTATGTAGAGTGCATGGCTTGATGGAGCCAAATATTGGTAGAGGCCTCTAGACACTAAGGCTACGTCTTCACTACAGGGGGGGGTCGATTTAAGATACGCAAATTCAGCTACGCGAATAGCGTAGCTGAATTCGACGTATCGCAGCCGACTTACCCCGCCGTAGGGACGGTGGCAAAATTGACCTCTGCGGCTTCCTGTCGACGGCGCTTACTCCCACCTTCGCTGGTGGAGTAAGAGCGTCGATTCGGGGATCGATTGTCGCGTCCCAACGGGACGCGATAAATCGATCCCCGAGAAGTCGATTTCTACCCGCCGATTCAGGCGGGTAGTGTAGACCTAACCTATTATTATACAAAGAAATAAATGGGAGAGAGGTCAAGGGCTAAATTCATAGGACTCAGTGGGATGGTAGTGGAAAGAGGGAATTCAGAGGGAAAAGTGATGGTAGAGTTGGAGTTAGGGATTAGAACTGTGTGAATAACTGATTTTTTGTTCAGTTGATGAACTGAAAAATTGGAGGAAAAAATCCTTTCATGTCAACCCAAACCAAAAGTTTAGAAAATTTTTGGGGAATCCAAAAAGTCGAAAGAGATTCATTCTGGTTCATACTAAATATTTTGTTCACCCCAAAGCAACATGTTTTTTTCTGTATATTGATTTTTTTATTTTTTTTTAATTATGTAGATCTAATTGAAGTAACATTCAAAATGAAAAGTTTCTCAAATCAAAAAGTCAGTGTTTCAATATTTTTGGGAATTTTATTTTTTGAGAGTTTTTTTCAACTGAAACAATTTCGTGAATTCAACACAAATTTGCAAAATGTTTCAGTCAACATGAATTTGCAGTTTTTAGTGAAAAAACTTTAGTCCACAAATTTTGCTCAGCTCTTAAAAAAATAATAATAATAAAAAAAGTGGTGCGGGGAGGGGCAGGAGAGGAATGGGCAAAGATTTGGACCAGTTCATTTTTTCCCCACAGCCAGTTTTGTCAGTATCTGATATAATTAACAAAAACTAGTGCAAGGCAGGATCTGGTTAGCAGCATACAGCAGTACATCACAACATCCTAGGATAGGGCCAGATTAATGAGATTGCAGGCCCAGGGGTAATGTTTTTCAGAAGCCCCCTTTTCGTGAACCCTGTATTAATTAAAACAAAAGCATACCCAGCTTGTGGCAATCAACAAGTCATGTATATTATTGAATAAACTTGAAAAGAAAATTGAAGACAATGAACAGGTTACATACTGCCTGGATGAACATAAAAATATAAAACTTTGAGTCAAATGAAATGTTGTAGATTTAAACTGGCATCTTTACATGATTCAAATTCAGTTTAGACTCCTCAAATGACAGTAAATGTAGTAAATCCCATTCAGCTGACATGATTGCAAGAGCATTAAGCTTTGTTTCTACCATAGCTGACCAAAGACAACTTTTTATTCAGACAAAGCTTAGAAAACAATTGCTCTGCTTCACAGCTGGCAATGGGTACATTCAAATACAGTCTCAATGCAATGAAAATATTCGGGAAGACATTACTCAGATCTTTGTCATGAAAAAAATTGATGATTTCAGGAGCACTCTTATCCTGCATGTCACAATATATTATAAATGCTGAAAACTGATACATTTTGACAAAAGCTCAGGCTCTAGATCATGAAAGTAAAGGTTGAGCAACCAGCAAGTGCATGTTTTCTTCTCCTCTTCACTTTGTATTTTTAAGGTTAGGAAATGAAGTATGCTCTATCTACCTGAATCTATGCTAACTTATTAAATAATAGGCAAAACCCTGAAGTCCTTACTGAGTCTTCACTTAGAAAAAACTGGTCTTGACTTCACTGAGCGTTTTGCTTGAGTAAAGAATATGAACTTCACCAGAAACCTTTGAAAATGATAGTTACTGGCTTCTGTCCTGCAACAGGTGCTGCGAATGCAAACACCTGTACCCAGTGGTACTCTGCAGATGGACAGGGATTGACATTAGTATGTGAACAATAATGTAGGATAATGATGAGACATAATGGGTGGGGGTCAGAGATGTGGGAGGACAAGTTAGCAGTAAAATGAATATGTAATAAATAATAAACAGCAGTCCTAGCTCACCACTGTACTTTGGACAGCCATTTTTTCTCAGGTCTTCTTCCCCCTAATAGGCCAAATTCATTTTTTGTATAACTACACTGGAATTAGTGCATCATGGATTATCATCGTCCAGTATGACAATAACGTACTTCGTTACTTTAGTATTGGTCCCAGTATAAAAAATGGCGGAGTGCCCCGGGGTTGGTCCTGGGGCTGGTTTTTTTTCAACATCTTCATTAATGATCTGGATGATGGGATGGATTGCATCCTCAGCAAGTTCACGGATGACACTAAGCTGGGGGGAGAGGTAGAAATGCTGGAGGGTAGAGATAGGATCCAGAGTGACCTAGACAAATTGGAGCACTGGGCAAAAAAAAATCTCATGAGGTTCAACAAGGACAAGTGCAGAGTCCTGCACTTAGGATGGAAGAATGCCATGCACTGCTACAGTCTGTGGACCAACTGGCTTAGCATCAGTTCTGCAGAAAAGGACCTGGGGATTACAGTGGACGAGAAGCTGGATATGAGTCAACAGTGTGCCCTTGTTGCCAAGAAGGCTAACAGCATATTGGGTTGCATTAGTAGGAGCATTGCCAGCAGATCAAGGGAAGTGATTATTACCGTCTATTTGGCACTGGTGAAGCCATATCTGGAGTATTTTGTCCAGTTTTGGGGCCCCCACTACAGAAAGGATGTGGAGAGAGTCCAGCGAAGGGCAAGAAAAATGATTAGGGGGCTGGGGCACATGACTTACGAGGAGAGGCTGAGGGAACTGGGCTTATTTAGTCTGCAGAAGAGAAGAATGAGGGGGGGATTTGATAGCAGCCTTCAACTACCTGAAGGGAGGTTCCAAAGAAGATGGAGCTAGGCTGTTCTCAGTGGTGGCAGATGACAGAACAAGAAGCAATGGTCTCAAGTTGCAATGGGGGAGGTCTAGGTTGTATATTAGGAAACACTATTTCACTAGGAGGGTGGTGAAGCACTGCAATGGGTTACCTAGGGAGGTGGTGGAATGTCCATCCTTAGAAGTTTTTAAGGCCCGGCTTGACAAAGCCCTGGCTGGGATGATTTAGTTGGAGTTGGTGCTGCTTTGAGCAGAGGGTTGGACTAGATGACCTCCTGAGGTCTCTTCCAATCCTAATCTTCTATGATTCTATGATTCTAATTTTATGCTTTGTGAAACCATTCAGATCCTACATTATGGAGTACCGACCATGTACGTCAGTGGTTGGAATGGGCCGTGAAGGAATATGGTCTTCCAGACGTTGACATCTTGTTGTTCCAGAACATTGATGGGAAGGAACTGTGTAAAATGACCAAAGATGACTTCCAGAGACTCACCCCAAGCTATAATGCAGATATCCTCCTCTCACACCTACACTACCTCAGAGAGAGTAAGACAATTTCCCTTCTTTATGATGGTTAGAATAAATCTATCAACAGCATTTCCAGTTGTAGTGCCTTTTCAATTTGGGATTTCAAATCTCCCTACCTCAAATGTTACTGCTTCCGAGAATATTATGTAGGGCCTGATCCAAAGCTTATTCAAGTTGATGGAAAGACTCCTATTGACTGGAGTGGGCCTTAGATCGGGCTCATTGTGACTGCTTTCAGAAACGATCTTAAGAATATCTCCAAATGTCCATATTAGGCAAAATTAATTTGAAACCCAGCCCATTCATCCACAATACTGTAGGAAGAAAATCAAAGGGACTTTGGTGATGATGTTTTTTCTGGTCACATACTCATCTTTCCATTTTAGGTATGAGAACCCTAAATGAGAGTAAAAACATTGATTTATAAAGAAAATTCCAGGCATGATTCTATGAACATATGTGGTCTGTTCTATTCTGCATAGGTGCATGTAACTCTCATTGAAATTAATAGGAGTTATGTACATTCATGGAGAAGAGAACAGAATCTCCTAAATCTGAAAGCAAAGGATTTGTAGCTGATGGCTAACATTCCAAGGGGGAAGAAGGGAACAGTGAATTAATGATTTGAAGGCTGTAGTCTTTGCATAATTTGCATAATTTAAAACATTAAAATTAGCAAATATGGTTTTAAAAACAAACAAATATTGCAACACCAGTGTGGTGCAGTCTTTTACACACACACACACACACACACACACACACACACACACACACACACACACACACACACACACACACACCGACAATCAGACCGAAATATTATGTATTAATAATATTATTTAAATGAATACCCTAGTTTAAGCTTTAACTCACACACCTCCCCCACAAACAGCAGAACTAAACTGATTGTTACTAGACTTGCTTTAAAACAATCCTATCAGGGGGAAAATGTTTTTAGAAGATAATTCTCAATTTTTTTTCATTTTGGTGTTGCTTTTTGTTTTGTTTTGTAGCTCCTCTTCCACATTTGACTTCAGATGATGTTGATAAGGCCTTACAAAACTCTCCACGGTTAATGCATGCTAGAAACACAGGTAATGCTGGCACCGCTCCCATTCCTATAGGTCATCTTCTAAAAGCACAGGATTCCTGTTTGAGTTGCATGCTAAAAAATGGAAATGGTAAATCACCAGGGAGGCAGTGTATTCTCCCCTGATATTTGTGTAAGACTCATATTAGCAGTTATGGGAGTTTTCCACACACACACACTGAACAGAAGTGAGATCATTTAGGACCAGATTCTGCAATTGGATCCCTGTGTGCAAACTCTTGTACCCATGCAGCTGCAAGGGTCCACCCACATGCAACAAACTGCACTTAGTCTCTAAGGCTCTGATCCTATCCTATCAGATCCACCTAGGTGAATCCTTTTGCCTGCATGGAGCCCCACTAAAGTCAATGGAGCACTGTACTGGCTCAGGAGCCCACCTGCACAGATCAGCTTGCAGTATTGGTGCCTAAGTCTGGTTTATTTCTCCCATACAGTATACTACATCATGGACCCATGCAGTATACTGTATCACATATTTAAATACTATTTTGTCACAAAAAGAACTGGATAAGCAGGGATTTTACGTTTCCCCATTTTAGAAGACAATACTGACTATTTTGCTGATAGAGTATTTCCGGTTTTAATTTTTTTAATTTAGACTGTACCAACAATAAAATGAAACCTGCTAAATTAAAAGGGTTTTTATAACCCCACAGAATGTAAAAGATGTGTGGGATTTTTTTAAAGCAAAAATCCCTTTATATCATGGTAGGCCATTATCCCCTACTACTACTATGCTTGGGCCTTTTTAAAGTCGGGGGGTGGGAAGAGAATGTATTTTATGGACTGCTTCCTGTCCCCAGGTTTTCATGCTGGCTCCCTGAGTCTTGTTCTGTGCTGACATCCTACTAAGTGCTCATTCTTCTCTCTGTACAATGCTTTATAAATACACACATAACCCTCCATCACATACATTGTCTATAATATGGGGCTTCTCACTAAGTCTCAGCAAAGTTAGATCTTATTTAAATTAAAAAAAAAAGTTACTATTCACCCTTCTATGAGCCACCCTGGAGAAGTAGGAAATGAATATGAAACACTCCTTAAAAGTATATTTCTTCCGCAAAATTATATGATGTTACAAGATTTCACTCAAAATATTTATAAAAAGAAATCAGTGGAAGTTTTGTTTTGTTCTAGCAGTTGCGTAACAGAGGGTGACATGGAATGCTATGTATTATAATTTGTTTAAATACAAGTTTTGAATATCACGTTATCATGCCTGAGGGTATTAGTTACCTACAGTGACCAGAAATAACAACTATTTAAGAAATGGAAAAGCTAATATCAAAAAGAATGTGAAATATTCTGCAATTTTTCTCCTTCACTATCATAATTAGCACTGTTTCCCTGCAAAATTACAGCATAGTTACTCAAACATTAAATGCTCTTTGCTAAGATCAAATGTTTCATATCCAATATATCCTCTTATCTAAGGCTGCTAGGTTTGATCCAAAGTCCATTCAAGTCAGACGGAGCCTCACCATTCACTTTAATGGACTTTGGAACAGCCCTTAAATTTCATTTTAAAAGTAGATGGACTTGAGGGTCTTTTCCATCTCTGTCAGTCACAATCCTAATTTAGCAATGAATTTCCCTGCACAGTTATCCAGTAGTTTCTCAGTGAGTCCCTGTTACCTTTTTCTGTGTAATTGCAATGGTGTTGAGATTTATTAGTTTCTCTGCCCAAAACAAAATAATCTGCATTTACTTCACTGGGATTATTGATACACTACAGCTACATAGATGACATTTATGTCAGCAATATCATACAGTATGTAAGAACAAGAAATAATAATATTTGTTCTGTTTGGTTCTGTTTGTATAAAAATCTGGGGTGGGAACTTCAAAGGAGCCTGAGGGGATTAGTGTCCAACTTTTAAAAGTCACATAATCCCCTTAGATTTCTTTCAGATTTCCAACCATGATAACTATAAATCTGTTACATGGTTAGAGCTATTTAAATTCCTGAAATAGTCAGACATAATTTTCTGCATCAAACTGGTTATTTTTACAATGTTTCACTATAAGAATTAATTCTCTGGGAGACTGATCCAAAGTCCATGGAAGTAAATGAAAAGACTCCTACTGACTTCCATGGGCTTTGGATCAGGCCCTAGGTTATCTGCTGAAAATATCCACAGGTTAGGGAGATGTACACACTAAATAAAGATAAGGCAACATAAATTGCACTTCACAACAGCTATGAAACCTGCTGAAATCTGAGGCCAGTTTTTCTAAATTTAAAAAATATGGACTTAATTCTCTTCTTACTTACCTTGGTTTACACTGAGGTATCTCCACTAATTTGAATGGATTTACACTGATGTAAATGAGACTAGAATCAGGCCCTACAAACCTCACTCTTGGGTGACAAAACATTTATTCATATGCTTCATTTAAATACATTGACCGGCTGAAATACACTTACCACTGACAGCACTGACTGTGGAAAAAACAGTCCTTATGTGTTTTGTCTCCACTTTTTCCTGCAGGGGGTGCAGCTTTTATTTTCCCAAATACTTCAGTTTATCCAGAAGCAACACAAAGAATTACAACCAGGCCAGGTATGAATGATGATCTTTTTATGTGATGTGATCTTGCTCACTCTCACTACCCCTCTGTCTTTCTCCTTCAGATGTCTCCTATAAAATAGCACAGTATATAAATGTTGAGTAATATATATCTATAGGTATATATGGTCCCCGGTGTGGGATGAAGTGGGAGGGAAGAGCAGCTTAATGAGTCTGTTTTTCTATAGTCATCTGTTTTTGAGGCAGTGTGGCCTAGTGGATAGAGCAGTGGGCTGGGACTCAGGAGATCTAGGTTCTGTTTCTAGCACTTTCCATTGGCCTGCTGAGTGATCTTGGGCAAGTCACCTCACCTGTCTGTGCCTCAGTTTTCCCATCTGTAAAATGAGGCTAATGATACTGACCTCCTTTGTGAGGGGCTTTGAGATCTCCTGGAGTAAGTGCTATGTAAGAGTGTGGTATTAGTATGATTATTGGTTTCTTCTCTCTCTGTTTACTGTTTATTTTTGAGACAAAATAACTAGATACAAGGGTATAAAAGCATAAAAACAAACAACAAGAGATTCTTTAAGTATATCAGAAGTGGGAAGCCAATGACAGAACATGTGGGTCTGCTAGATCACCAGGGGTAAAGGGAACAATGAAGGAAGTAAAGAACAATACTGAGAAGTGACAGGATTTCTTCACCACTGAGGATGTTGGGAAGATACCTAGCCTGGACCTTTGCTTTTCCAATAATAAAGAGCAGGTACTAGCAGGGATTGAGGCAACAGAAGAAAGTGCTTAAAAAGCAATAAGTCACCAGGTCCAGGTGGTATATATCCAGGAATACTGAAGGGACTTAAAATTGAAGTGACTGAGCTGCTAGTAAAGATATGCAATCTCTAACTAAAACAGCTAGTACACCAGAGGATTGCAGGATAGCAAATGGTGTATGTATATTTTAAAAATGCTCTAGATAGTAATCCAGGAAATTAATCACCACTAAATCTTGCACTGGTTGAAATGATAGTTAAAAATTAAATAACAAAAAAAAAAAAACCCGTAGAAGTTCATAATATAATAGGGTCTAACTGGCACAATTTCTGCAAGGAAAATCATGCCTCACTTTATTGATATCAATAAAGTATTAGATATAGAAGAACCAGTTGACATAATTCATTTAGACTTTCAAAAGACCTTAAACAAAGCCCCTCACTAGAGGTTACTAAAGAAATTGAGTAGTAATGGGATGAGTGGCAAAATACTGTCATGGATCAAAAACTGGCTAAGACAGAATGCTAAAAATAGGAACAAATGATCAACTCTCATCGTGACAAGAGGTTAACAGTAGGTGCCTCACAGTTCAATTAGGATGACTGATGTTTAATGATCTGGAAAAGGATGGTGACAAAATCTGTGACAAAAGTGAGAAAGCAAAATTTGCAAATGGCACAAAATTATTTAGGTTTGTTAAATCCAGAGAGAACTGTGAGGAACTTCAGTGGGAATTAACCAAGCTAAGTGAATGGGCAATACAATGGCTGATGAAAGTGAATGTTGATAAATGCAATATAATGCACATTGGAGGGGAAAATTTGAACTATTCCTATACTGAGTTTTAGATTAACCTCATTATTTCAGGGAAAAGTACCTGGGCATCATTATGGACTGCTCAATGGAGACCTCTGCTCAGTGTACAACTGCTGTCAAAAAAACTAACAAAATGTTAAGCTGCATAAGGAACAGGGTGGAGAATGATATGGAAAAGATTATTGTGCTACTATATAAATCAAGAGTTCCGCTTCATTTGGAATATTTTGTTCAGTACTGGTCACCCCATCTCCAGAATTATATTTGCAGAATTAGAAGGCATTCAGAGAGAAGTGATGAGAATGGTTAAAACCCTGGAAAAGCTCTCCTATGGTGAGCAATTGGTAAGTCAGGGATTTTTTACCTTAGATAGGAGATGACCAATGAGAAGCAGGGCCAGCTCCAGGTACCAGCCTGGCAAGCAGGTGCTTGGGGCGGCCACTCTGGAGAGGGGCGGCACGTCCAGCTATCCGGCGGCAATTCGGCGGACGGTCCCTCACTCCCGCTTGGAGCGAAGGACCGCCCACCAAATTGGTGCCGCAGATCGCGATCGCAGCTTTTTTTTTTTTTTTTTTGGCTGCTTGGGGCGGCCAAAACCCTGGAGCCGGCCCTGATGAGAGGTACATAATAGAACTATTACAAAATAATGAGCGGTTTAGAAAAGGTGGATTGGGAACTTCTATTTTCCGTGTGTCTCAATACAAGAATGAGAGGACATTCAATGAAATTGAGAGGAAGCAAATTCAAAACTGATAAAAGGAAATACTTTGTCATACAACACATGAGTAGACTTTGGACCTCGTTGTCATGGAATGTTGTTGAAGCACAGAGCTTAGCAAGATTCAAAGAGAGATTGGACATTTATATGGATAACAAGAATATTCAATTAAAGTAGTAATTACAAACACAAATTTATATCAGATATGAAACCTGATGCTTCAGAGCTCTCACTAATCTCTAACTAATAGGGGTAGGAGAAGACTACATTGGGAGGAAGATTAGCTCACATCTGTCTACTGTGTGGAGTCTTCAGTCTTCCTCTGAATAGCTGGAAACAGGATAGCAGGCTAGATGGAACACAGGACTTTGCCAGTATGGCAATTCCTATGTATCTATCCTTAGTGCATACTCCTCTGGATAGTTCATTCATCTTTTTATTTTTTTAATACAGGAGAAACAAATATGATTTCCTTACATAAAATGAAAGTAATTTCTTATATATGTATTTCCTTTCTGTCTGTATTTTTATTAATGATTTGTTGTTTATTCTGTGAATCAAGAATTTTGATAAAGGTATGTTTAAAACATGATAAAATACATTAATGTGATCCCTGAAATAACATATACAAGAGTTATACAATATACAATAAAATTGTATTATGCCCACTGTCATTATGCTCTCTCCTCCCCCATGGTACACCACAGGGCTTGGTCAGAAGGGAAACCACATTGCTTCATGGGAGATGTAGTCTAGCCAGGGAGCCCAGCCCAGAGCAGAGAACTACAGCTCCCAGGAGGCTATGCAACACCAAAGGGAGATGCAGTATAATGTTGAACTGATTCAAAATGAAATGTTTTGGGTCAGTTCAGTCAACCAAAATATTTCAGTTTGGGTCCAGCTGACCTAAAATATAAGATTTCATTTGATTTTTCCCATCAGAAAATCAAAACAATTGAGTAAAATAGAAATTTCCAACAGAAACTCTTGATGTTTCAGAAATTGTATTTTCTGTTGAAAAATCACTTCAGCAGAAAATTCCTGATAACTCTAGTTTTCAGACAAGGTCCAAATCTTAAGTAGAATGGGGACAGCCTAACTTTTACAGAGAAGCTATTCCATAACTAAATGCCCTTTTGCTAATAACAGGAGTAGATGTGATTGTCCTCGAGGCAGTCATTGATTACAAGTAAAAAGAAAAAGAGGCATAGAGGATGCTAAAGTAAAAATGCATCAGCCAAACATTGGGAAGCAATTCCAGAGAGTGAATCAAAATTAAACAATTACCATTGTTAAATGAATATAATGGAGAATAGGAAGTGAGTGAGGTTCCTGAAGAATTAGAATGACAAAGTCATATTTCTTCAGCTGTCCTGGTAATAGAATACCAGGAATTTTTTGCAAGTTAAAAGTGATACACTGTAGTAGCTCAGGAAGGACTAATATGGGATTACCTAAATGTCTCATCAAACCAGAGTGAATTACAAGATCTGTTCTAGTTAAGGACATAATGTTCCCATTTCTCATGAGTAAAAACAGACCTGCTTATCTATGATAGCAATATGTTTAACAAAATACAAATCATTGTTCAAATAATCTCCCAGATCCTGAACTAAGAATGAAGTCTTAATTTTGATGCTGTTTCAAGTAGGCCTGAGAGCTGGATCTTTCCTTTAAAAGAGGGTGTAGTCACACAACCATATGAGGATGTGTTTTGCCTCTTGACTCAAGAGTTTTCTCACAGTACTAAATTTATACTATTTAATGAATTTCAGGTATGTGGTATTTTAAAAATAAAATCCTAACAACTAGCACTTCTATGCAGATGCACAAGTGCCATGCAACTTCCCTTTATATACAGTTACACAAGAGTTTACAATCTGAGGTCCCCCCCACCCATCCCTCTCAAGAAAGCAAACAAAGAATGGGAAGGAGGGCAGACTGGCTGGTGACAGGCACATATCTCATTAGTTTCATGTTTTTCCCCTTTCCTACCTTCTTTGTGGGAGAGTGAAGGATTAGGAAAAATTGGAACTATCTACACGTGTACCTGACAACACCCTTTCCCCCCTTTGCTTGTATATTTTGTCCTACTCCCCATCCCTTTGGGCTAGATTCTTGGCCCAGCTCAAGATGTTGCACACACTGGTCACATACCCCTGGCTGGGAATACCGCCAGCATGGAAGGGTTCTCAGCAGGTGCAGCATAGCCAGCTTGTGCACCTCCCACGATGCTTCCTGGTGCACAGGGCTTGTAGGTGGAGGATATAGGTATGACAAGGCTGGCAGGAGCAAGCAAAGGGGAGTGGATGAAGTAGGTGGCACTCTGACAGTCCTCAGCTGGCTTATGATCCATTGTGGATCATAGCCACCTAGCACTTGTTTAGAGTAGCCCCCAGGCTGCTCTAATCTTCATCCAGAGCTGGGCAGAGGATCAGGATCAGCTCCCTGACAGCACCCCCTCCATTTCCGCTGTGTGCAGTAGTAGCTGGACACAGCACACAATTTGAAACTTTGTCTGTTTTCGTTTTCCTTTTGGATGGTAAGTTCTCCAGGGAGAAGACTATCTCTAACTATATGCTTTAATGGTATTGAGCACAATTGGATCCCAATTTGATTGGGGCTCCTGAGTGCGACTATACCGTACTAATTATAATAGTACTGTATACAGGTACTCAGATCAGGGATAAATACCTATACAGTTAGCACTATTTTCTCCAATTCTCCATGTTTCCACAAGAGAAGAATGTGGTATAAAAGTAGAAAAATCAAGGATAACAAGGCACAGTTACTTAAAATATAATACAGAACAAAAAGTGTATATCTCAGCAAAACCGAAATTTTGAGAGTGTAAGATTCCATCAGACCACAGTGATGGCAGTGCCAGTTATACACTCAAGCCAAACAGACTAAATAAATTAAAGGCAATTTGGTTGTGAGTTACACATTACACTTTGTTTCCATTCAATTCTCTCTCTAGTAGTGTCTGAGAATGGGCAGATATACAAAAGCCACACTCAGAGTCAAACTGCCTTCTCAGCTGGTTCACTACTTCCTACCTGATTTCATTTTTAAAGACTGTCAAACAACCTTTCTAAAAGAAAGCTAAGACACTATTAAGAATCTGCCATCCATCCAAAGGAGTCTATGCTCCTACCTTAATACAGCACTGATTTGGCAATAGGTGTATTTTATTTCCTTTCTTGAGCTCTCAACGCAGGCCCAAAGTTAGTATATTGTATATATTATAGCTACTGGAGCAGAGCAAAAAGAGGCTCCATATGGCCCAAACTAAGGTTGAAATTAATGAAAGGGGAGGGCAAGGAACCACACAGCTCCCCCCAAGCTAGCCAATGAGTGGCTGGACACTCCTGTGTCCCCTCACTGTGTGTTCTCCATCCCCATTCAACTGGGGCTGTCCCAGTCACTGCCGCCCGGCCCATCGTTTCCCATCTACTGAAGTGGTTGCGTGGCATTGCACTGTGAGGGTTACAGACATGTGAGCTGTCATTGTCATGTTAACTTGTAGGGTGTTTCAGTTTCTTTTAGCAACTATTTGAAATTGTTTTTATGGGAATGACAATGGGGAATGCTCAAGTGTAAGCTATCAGTTAACTGTTAGTCAAAAAGAGGTGGGTTTTGTGAATGATTCTGAAAAAGGAGCGTGAGATTGCTTGGTGCACAAGAGGACAAATGCTGTATCCAGTGTAAGAATAAAAGAAGGAGCCATAGGTGGGAGAATAAAAGGCAAATGAAGGCAGCAGAGTTAACAGAGTAAAGGGCACATGCACAGGAAAAAGTAGGAGACAAGGGCAGAGATGTAGGTATAGCAGAGGTACAGGATATTTAACATAGCCCCCCTGGGTCCAAAGGATATCAGGACTAGCCATTGCCTCAGTTACAGAGCAAATCCTTCCAAATGCTCTGTGATGAATAAGAATAAATAATTTCTTTATTAAAAAGTTACATTACATTAAATAAAAGAAAATGAAGTTTATCAAAAGTCTTAGTAGTTACTTAGTGGAACATCATAATAACAAGACCAGTACTATACTGTCCCCACTAATATCCTCACTGGATGTGACCATATGTAGCTCTCAAGCCTTCCACATTGCAAACAGCAGCTACGGAGCCTCATCTCGAGGAGTGACAGCAGCAGACTAACAAGGCAGTAAAAGACCAAAATCCATTTTCTTAAAACAATGAATGGTAGACGAGACTTTCATCTGACACACAGTGATGGGAAATCTCACTTGAGTGACTAACACTTACTCCTGTCTCCAACCTCCATAGATCCATGAACCCACTCCAGTCAGCCAGGCTCTAGCATGAGCTGTCAAAGTGCCTGCTCAGTCCCTTCCCCTACATCCCAGTGGAAAAGTGTGTGTGTAGGAGGGGGGGGGGGATGTTAAAGGCAAGAGAAGAGTTGTGGAGACCCTTGAAAGGTGAGGACAATACATGTGAATGTGAGGTGGAAGGAGACAAGAAGCCAGAGAAGAGACATGGTCACAGCAATGGGGGAGGGCGAAGATATTTTTGCAGTGGCGTGGTGAGTAGACTGCAGGGGAGAAAGGAAAGAGGCAGGTAGTTAGGGAGGCCAGGGTGCAGCTGTCAGGGTGAGAGATAACTAAAAGGATGAGGGGCGTGGCAATGGGGATCCTTCTAATTTCAGTAACCTTCCCATGTCCAGTGATTTAGCCATTAAGAATGTGTCACACTTTATGCCATATATACTTAAGACAATTTATTTTTCTCTACAGATTTATCATATGAACAAGCCAGAAGGTCAGCATGGACAAGTCATAGTCACCCTGCTCCTCAATCAAAAGGTTAAGCATCTGCTTACTTTCTACCATAGGGGCCTAATTCATGTCAGGGGTATCTCCTCTGGAAATAGAATTCAAACTTGAACACCTATGTTATGCTGTAGAATTCTGCGTTTGGGTATTCAAACTATTATTTGAGTGTGTGAAACTGGTACTTGGGTATCAAAGGGCTGGTCTGAGAATTTAAATAAGAATTTGGGTGTTTTAAACTTAGGCACTCAAATTTGAAAATCCACCTACAGTAGGCCTATTTTTTATATTACTCGGGAAAAGAAAAGTAGTAAGAGTTTGGATCAATGTAAAATCCTCAGCTCTACCAATAAATCAAACAGTGATATAGAGTGTAAGCACTGTAGACTCTGTAGAAAAAATAGGTTAATACTTACTGAGTAGTTGAAATGTTTTAAAAGTGATTTGAGTATTCCTTCTAAAGTTTGTTCTTTGAGGTTTTGGGTCCCATTTTCTGTTCTATGACTGCAAGCAGAGAGGAGTCTAAGGGGGAGCTCTGCCTCTGTGGAATGGTCCCCTTCCCTTCCCACTCCAAGAAATCTCCTTCATGGGGACTGTCTGGGATTCTAGCTCCACAAAGTTGGAGGGAGCAGGCCACAGCTGGACTCCTCTGGATTCTCCCCACCCCAACCTGCAGGAGAGCACAGTGCAAGCCCCTTATTGCCAGTGGATGCCATGAGATCCACAAGGAAAAAGGGGTTAAAACACTAGCTTCTTCTATTGGGGGAGAGGGAAACCACACAGACACCCCTCCTCTACCACAATGGAAGAATTCAGAGGAAACACTATCTGTAAATCATTAGAACTCATAGATTTTCCTCTCCCTTGCATGGGTTAGTCACGTCTAAGGAAGAACAGAGGCACTTCTTTGCAATTTATACAGTATATGCTCCCTCCAAAAAGTAACTTTACATGTACGTTATTTAGGAGAAATTCATTGTTTCTTCTCCACCCTACATCAGTATCTCTGACAGGAAACAACAGATATATGTCGTGTTGGAAAAGGTCAAATAGTGACAGAACTTGCCTCAAGCTGAAGACTTTCTGCTTTAGAATTTCTCATATTTGATACTGTCTTAGCAGACAAGTCCAATAAACATGTGAATATTATGCCAGATGTAATTATCAGTAACAACTATGTCCTTCCAGTAGGGCCCAAACCTGCTCTTATTGAAGTCACAGGCATGTTTGCATTTATTTTAATGGGAGCATGAATAGGTCAGATGAGGTTAACATATCAGGGCAAATCTCATAGTTGATATCACCAAGTGCTGAGCTGTTGAAGTCCAGTGAGTTGACTCTTATTGTGCCAGTGATTACTTTGGTCCACCCAATGTAAGACAGTTTTGGTGAGTGATTTTGAAACTTGAAAAAATAGATAAATGTATGAATTTTTCTATTTTCAGCTACCCAACCATCATCATCAACAGTGCCCAAAACAGAAGACCAGCGACCTCAGTTAGGTGTGTGTAACTTTATTTAAGTTGGATCTGGGTTAAATGGAGTATATTAAATGTGATCTGAAGTGCACTGTAGTCTGCCAACAAATAGCCAACTACGAGAGCAGACGCAAGCTATTAGCAGAGACCTCCTTATAGTGGCTGGGCTCATTGTAGCATCCTGCATGGTGGCTGAATTGTGTATTCATGTCTTGTGTGTACAGGTGACTCAAACTGAGACCCCCATGATTTACAAATCAAAGATTCAAGAATACAAATTAACAATTTGCAGGAAAGTTGGATGTGGTGGACCTCCAAGTAGCCAACATACTGTCACAGCTCATTGTGACTTTCTTTTAGTAATTCTTACAAGGGTCTTGTTGCCTTCAAGGGGATCATTGAGCTATTAAGCAAAGCACGCATATTCAGTTCCAGTACAAAAATGTGGAATCTAAGGATTTCAAAGGATTCTGTTCATAATGACTGGCTGGAGTATTAGCATCAGAAAAATGTACAGAAGTGAAGATTTCAGTATCTAGGAGAAATATAGATAAAACTGGAATTCTTACACACAATCCTACTACAGTTTGAAATCCTGGACTCCTGAAATACAGGGCTGAAAGCTGGAAGGATTTTCACTTTGTTGGGTAACTGTCAGGAGAAAGTATCAGTTTTATAAGATTATGTTCAAAGGTGAATGAGTTTTGTGGCTGCAAAGCAATTAGTTCATTGTATGGGACAGAAACCCATAGTATTACGTTAGATTGTCCCTTGAATGAGAAAGTACATCAAAAATTCTGAGTCAGTAATGGCTTTTACTAATGGCAAAATTATAGAAATGGGAGATGAAGTACACCTGCAGGATAATCTGGATTCAGATGGACACCGATTCTGTGTTTTTTAAATGCACTTTTCATTATTCTGGATTTTGTTATAGCTAAATAAGAATATGTGCATGACTGCATTCCATTAGCTTGAATTGTTTATATGTATGTGGTTTGAGAAGTATTATTATTGCTGTTTGTCAAAATAGCATTTCTTAGTTTAATATAATCGGGCCTCCAAAGGCTTTCAAGAAATATACAGTAACTCCTCACTTAACGTTGTTGTTATGTTCCTGAAAAATGCAACTTTAAGTGAAACGATGTTAAACGAATCCAATTTTCTCATAAGATTTAATGTAAATGCGGGGGGTTAGGTTCCAAGGAAATTTTTTGGGGGCAGTCAAAAGGCATTATATACTGTACTGTACTGTACTGTGGTTGGGAAGTGCTCCTGGCTTACCCCACACAGACACAGCCCGCTGCAGGCAAGGACTCTAGGATGCACCTTCACAGCAGCAGAGGCAGTTTCCCCGGAGAAGAACAGGTGCCAACTTTGCCGGGGGATGCTCTTCCCACCCCCACTCCACCTCCTCTCCGGAGCATGCTGCATCCCCACTCCTCCTCCCCCCCACCAGAAAGTCCTAAGTGCCGCCAAACAGCTGTTTGGCGGTGCTTAGGACTTTCTGGGAGGGAGGAGGAGGAGTGGAGACGCGGCGCTTCCCCGCTCCTTCCCCACTCTCCCAGCGCTTTGCACTTAGGACTTTCTGGGAGGGAGGGGGAGGAGCGGGGAAGCACCGCGTCTCCACTCCTCCCCCTCCCTCCCAGAAAGTGACAAAGACGCAGCACTTCCCCGCTCCTCTCCCTCCCTCCCAGAGCTTCGCGCTTAGGACTTTCTTGGAGGGAAGGGGAAGAGTGAAGACGCGGCGATTCCCCGCTCTTCCCCCTCCCTCCAAGAAAGTCCTAAGCACCTGGGAAGCGCTGGGAGGGAGGGGAGGAGGCGGAAAAGAGGAACTTGTGCAATGCTCCCTTGAAAAGTTGCTGCTCTTCCACAAAATCGTACAAGCAGTGAATAGAGCAGGCAGCCAAACGACGTTATAAGGGAGCATTGCATAACTTTAAATGAGCATGTTCCCTAACTGAGCAGCGACGTAACTTTGAAACAACGTTAAGCGGGCGGACGTTAAGTGAGGAGTTACTGTATTGGTAATTTATGTAAACTTTTTGAGAACATTTAGTTGCTGTGTGCGCGCTATGATTAGTATTTTACATTTATAAAGAACGCAACCTGAGTATCCTCTTGGCTGTAAAACTGGCAGCCACCTGAGAGCAGCTGTCAAGTGGCCAGAGAGCTTAGGGCCTTGAGAAGGACTTGAAGCTCTTCTGCTGCCCTCTAGTTTTGGCTTTGGTATTTATGGAACAGAATCCCTTTTCCGTTTGTTTCTTGATTTGAACTGGGATTTTCAAAGGAGCCTAAAGGAATTCCATGCAAGAACCATTGAAATGCTATGGGAGCTGGGTGCCTAACTCCCTTTGGCTTCTTTGAAAATCCCAAGCATGGATCAAATTTTCATAGGCAATTCAACCCAACCTCCATTGCATGCATTCAGCTATGCACTTGCAAAGCACTTAATGGATGCTATTTTTGTACATTGAAGGTTTTGCTTTGCATTCGTAAATTCTGCTATTTGTTTATGCAAAAATAGTGCACAAAAACGAGTGATGTGAAACAAACTAGGTCACACAGAAATAGAGGCCACGGCCCATTAGGGCAGGATCTGTCACTTTGTTATATGTAGTGTGGGACATGGGTCATTTGCAGGTTTAAACTATTGACACGCTGTCTGATGTGGCTCAGAACTGAGTGTGTCAATCTCAAGTCAGACTGTCAGAAAACAGGGCAGACACCCCAAACTGGTGGTATGTTCTATAATAGATTTCACCAAGACAGTAATAAATGTGCATTCCTGTATTACTATATTAGTCTTACCATGGAGTCACAAACAGTTCCCTTAGGCTCTCCAGTGCATTTTGCCACCCAGACAAACTAGACTTTATGATATTGGTCAGTATGCCAAATACCACATCACATTAGGTAACTTCCTACCCCAAAGGACCAGTCATTTACCCCAAGTCAAATTGGTAGTCTGGATCTCACCAAAAACAACGCTGAAGCCAATTTCTCTAGTAAACCAACTAAAGGTTTATTAGCTAAGAAAAGAAATGAGAGTAATTGAGAGGTTAAAGCAGATAAAATTCATTAACCGGTGAGTCAAAGCTTGTAAGTCCAAAATGTTAAGAGAGTTGTAGTAATTTGCTAGATTTCCAAAAGTTCCTCAGGGTTGCCCAGTGTAATTCCGGCATCTCTGTCCACTTGTTCAGTATTCCACCCTGTTAGAATCCAAAATAGTTCAGAGATGCAGGATCATTCCCTTAAACCAGTATTTATAGATCAGTGGTTCTCAAACTTTTGTACTAGTGACCCCTTTCACATAACAAGCCTCTGAGTGTGACAATCCCTTAAAATTAAAAGGATTTTTATATATTTAACACCATTATAAATGCTGGAGGCAAAGCGGGGCTTGGGGGGGAGGCTGAGAGCTCGCAACCCCCCATGTAATCACCTTGCGACCCCCTAAGGGGTCCCAACCTCCAGTTTGAGAACCCCTGTTATAGGCCTTGGCTAACCTCGGAACTTCCCAGTGCTGCCGCGGCAGCGCTGTGAAGCGCAAGTGTAGTCGCACCGCCAGCGCTGCAAGAGAGCTCTCGCAGCGCTGTATGTACTCCACCTCTCCGAGGGGAATAGCTCGCTTGCAGCGCTGCAGGTTCTGATTACACTGGCGCTTTACAGCGCTGTACTCGCTGCGCTCGGGGGTGGGGGGGTTCACACCCCTGAGTGCAGCAAGTTGCAGCGCTGTACAGCGCCAGTGTAGCCAAGGCCATAGATCCTTCACCCAGAAGACAATCTGACAGGTGCCTTCACCCATGTGAGTCCTTCCTTAGAGAAAGAATAAATAATGCAGACAGTCTGTGAATTCCCATTGTTACTTAATGGCCCTGGCTTTGAAGTGAACAAGCTTCTTCATTCACAGCCATTAAGTCCTTCATTAACATATACAATGTTTCTTTGAGGAGCAACAGCAAATAACAATCTTTCATTAGTTTTCCCGAAGTTCACACCAAACATTTTAACATTAACACACACTTAAATCTAAGGTTATCTAATTATAGGGTATACATAAGATATATGTAATGTAATAGCCAAGAACTGGTTATAGATAAGTGAAGACAATAACATTAGCATTTCACTAGTTTTCATTAATTTAAAGCAAATGTAATTACCAGGGCATATGGTATGTAAATGTAAGTGATAACAACCCCCTTTGTTCTAGTCTAACAAGTGAATTGGCCTATGCCTACTAGCCCACATAACGTTTCATTGAGATTCACACAAAAGCGAATTGGCCTATGGCTCTGATTTGAGCTGGCAACTGCTAGACAGCATCACATATATTATTCTCACAGCAAAATGATTGACCAAGTATTATTATCTTATGAACTACAATTGGCTAATAACATAGTAAAAGCATCCTGATTGGTTAATAACTTAGATTGGTTAACGATTAAATCACACATTGTTTTAATATCATGTGCTGCAAAGAGATGCAGGAGTAGGGTGACCAGATGTCCCATTTTTAAAGGGACAGTCCTGTTTTTTGGGACTTTTTCTTATATAGGCGCCTATTACCTGCCTCCCCCGTCCCGATTTTTCACAGTTGCTATCTGGTCACCCTATGCAGGAGACACATTAAAGAGCCACTTGTGGCTCGCAAACCTCAGTCTGAGTGTCACTGATTTAAAGTAAGGAAGGATGGGAAGGGGGCAACTCCTCCTTTTCTGCTAAATCTAGACGGGCCCTCGCCCTCCTCTCCTTGCTTTGGATAAGCTGCACTCCCTCAACAGCTCTTCTTTCGCCTTGGCTGGTGCCTTCCTATTTCAATGTACTTTAACCCCTGGACTTGGGCAGGGAAATCTCATGTGATACCACGCAGTTTGCAGATCCTTAGGGTGGACTGAGCATTTGTGTATGTATCCGTGACCGTTACATGTGCAAAGAGGTGTGTATGCATATTGGCGTGCACTCAATTCCGGCCATGTTTTAAAAATCTGGTCCTTTGTTTTGCCATTTAGAATTTATTCTAAAAACACTTTTCATTAAAATGAACTCAGAACACAAGAAAATAATGTTCTGAAGTAAATCAATTATCATTTTAAAACAACTGGGTGATAATTTCACTTTGTTTTTAATAGTCCTTTTGTTGGCAAACAAATGCAGAATATTGCAACTTGTTAAAAAGACTCTGAAGTAGGGTTTTTTGCCTCTTTTGTAATAACACCGGAATTTCAAAAATGATTTTATGTAATTACAACCTTTTAATTTGTTTCTTTTGTCCATATTTTTTTAGATCCATATCAGATTCTTGGACCAACCAGCAGCCGTCTTGCAAATCCAGGTGAGAAGGCGTTTTGCTGCCTGAGGGATGATTTTTCTTCAAATTTTACATTTTATCTCTATCACTTGTTACAGATTGAAGGCAAGGTTCAGCAATGCAGTGGGCATTCTCAGCTCCCATTGAAATCAATAGGAATTAATCAGTGGATGCTGATGGCACCTAGTGGATTGCAAGATTGGTAATCATATGAATAGTCTTACTGATTCAAAGAGGGTCAGGGCAAGGCATATGCAGTACTTAAGCTTTATTTTGAGGGTTTAAGTGGGATTTAAGCAGTGCATTGGACTTGCAGTGGCCCATTACACATGGTTGAATTTCATCCAAAGAGAACAAGGCAAGTAAAATTAGTCCCATTATTAGATTAGAAAGGAAGGGAGAGAGCAGTGAATATTTGACCAGTGTCTAACGTGACAGATTTCTCCAGTGACCTAGATCCTGTCCACATAGTCAAACTGTGTTTTTTATTATTAGAAATCTATTTAATCCATTAAAAATGCTATCCAAAATATTAAATAATGGCAGTTCATTTCATTCATATGTTCTATACATGGGACCAGATCCTCAGCTGGTGAAGCTTAACATCCAGTTTACCCTCACTGAGGATCTGGCCCAGGATGTCCTCAGCTACAAAAATATTGGTTTTGAGTGGTTCATATCACAAGTAAAACCACTAAGTGAGCATTTCTTTTTGACATTGATTTTATTATTTGCAGAAATGATGCCACATACTAGACTAGACAAATACAAGAGACTTTTAAACAAATAACTTTATGAACTGACAAGCAGTAAATGGGAGCAAATGGGAAAGCAGAATCCCTTCTGCAAAGAAACATCTGGGTTAGAAGTCTCAAAGACATTCTCCCACTTGAAAAAAGCAGGCTATAGTTCCAAGAAAAATCAGAAGATTTTGTTTAAATATGGCATTCCATCCAGGAATATCTTATTGAACACAATCTGAACTATGGCCTATAATGTTAAAAGGCGAGGGCGGGGGGAGAAGGTGAGGGAGCTTCCTGGTAAACTGTTATTGATATACTGTGGACCGGACTGATTTAATTGTTAATCTGACTCCACTGTAGTCAGTCTGGTTTTACAACAATATAACTAAGATAAACTAGCAATGCATATGCCAAATACTGTTACCCCTTCTTTAGCAGCCAAAGGGTGGAATGCTCCTTTCTCTCTACTCCCTTTTCCTATTGTTAGTAAGATTTCTTTCTATAAAAATGATTGAATCATCGTGATGATTCTTTTGATGATATTGTTGTGACCTGTTTAGGTTAGGAGTATTTCAACACTAAAGGTTCTTTTTCCCTTACATTTAGCTGTATGGTATAGTTACATCAAACAAAGTTATAGTTTAGTTTGCATTTTAAGATAAAGATTTTTGTATTCCATAAAAAAACAAATGAGAATTACTGCTGTTTTCAAGAGGGCTAAGGGAGTTAGGTGTCTAAATCCCATTACAATTCATTGGAAGTTGGGCATCTAACTCCCTTAAACTCCTTTGCAAATCCCAGCGTAGCACATATAGCATCAACTGGCTTTTTGCTAGCCTTGTGCCTATGGCATTGTGAAAAGAGCTAATGTGATATGCCCTGGATAGAGATACATGTTAACATTTGAGGAAAGCCACGGGTATGGAATTTCTATAAACTATTATTCCTGCACTTTAACAAGTTTTGTGTATTTATAAAATGGTGAAATTACTCTCTCATTAAAAGGAAATTGACAGAAACCATTTATTTTCATATGACTATATATTACATTTGGAAGGCAAGTGTTTATATTAAAACATATGTTGGATTGTTTATTCAGAAATTTGTGTTTTGTCCAGTGCTGGACTGTTTATTGATTTTCAAACTCTAATCCTCTAGTTATATTTCATGCATTAAAAGTGCGTGCTTTGCTCATACCATGGATTCTTTTGTTTGTTTGTTTATTTAATCATGTTAATGGAACAGAAGAAATTCATTAAGTACAGTTTGCATAAATATCATTTAAAAGAATAAAAGTTTCAGTTGCACTGAAGTATAAACTGCTAATATATTTCAGATGTGACTTTAGATTGATATGATAGTCCACCCTTATAAACTTTCTTAAAAAATGCTCATTTATTAGCCCCACATATCTGCTTTTTAAAAAAAATCTAATTTTTGGACAGAGATATAGAGTACTTAGAAGTTAGCACCAAAAATCTGTTTGGCAAATTCTGCTGACATTGCGACTGCAATATACAGAGCATTGAAATCTGTTACAGAGTATCAGCGCTGCTTTGTCATAAAATACTACTTTTTTACATGAATATTGGTGGCAGGACCTATCTAACACTACTGCCAACTGTTTAAAAGGTTCGTATTTTATTTTTATAATGTTGTGTAGAGACCTACTGCAAAGTTGTCAAAAACAACACGAATTCTTTCTCTTTAAGATTTAATTTCCAAAGAAGGGAGAAATACCAGTGTTTGGAATCGTAACTTCAGCAGTCATTTTCACTCCTGTTTGACAGAGAACAATTACAAGAACTCACTTTATAGACCTTTTAATTGTTTTCTCAAATGCTGTGCAGTGCAGTCAGATGCAATGCAACAGCAATTTAATGAGTTTCCATTCTACATTTCCCTAACTATTGGAAATGGGTGATATGGTTTGGAAAAGATCCAGCTTTCTTTAAACTTCTCCATTTTGTGTAGGTTTATTCCATAATGGAGAAAATTTAGTTGCAAAATGATATTGTGCGAACAAGAAAATTATTATGCAAGTGAAAGCTATTTGTCCTGAACTTTAGAGATTAGTTTCCTATATCTGTCTTGTATTATTTCACCATCAATTTTCCAAAGTAAATGACATGAGATAATTATTAAATATGCACATAATGGCATTTTGCCTGTCAAAATAGGAAAACAATACTTTAAATTATGGCCCCTGCTGTGCAGATTTTTTTAATTTTTTTTTGAGAGAGAGAGACACTAGTTAGACTGGGAGACAGGAGCAGAAGTTGCAACATTTCCTAATTAGGGATCTGTGGTGAAAATGCACTTGGATTTCATATGTGAAAGTCGGGAAGTGTTGATGTTCTAATGTTATTAGTCATTGGTTCTTCACTTTTCCCCCCCCAACCATAGGGAGTGGACAGATACAACTGTGGCAGTTTCTGCTGGAACTCCTGTCTGATAGCTCCAATTCCAATTGCATTACCTGGGAGGGCACCAATGGAGAGTTCAAGATGACTGACCCTGATGAAGTAGCCCGGCGCTGGGGAGAAAGGAAAAGCAAACCCAACATGAACTATGACAAACTCAGTCGTGCACTCCGTTACTACTATGACAAAAATATTATGACTAAAGTCCATGGTAAGCGTTATGCCTACAAGTTTGACTTCCATGGAATAGCTCAGGCCCTCCAGCCTCATCCTCCAGAGTCATCCATGTATAAGTATCCAACAGACCTACCCTACATGAGCCCCTACCATGCACACCCTCAGAAGATGAACTTTGTAGCTCCCCATCCTCCTGCTTTACCTGTAACTTCCTCCAGCTTTTTTGCTGCCCCTACTACATACTGGAATTCACCAACTGGAAGTATCTACCCTAATACTAGGCTTCCAGCCACCCATATGCCTTCTCACCTTGGCACCTACTACTAAGTAGGAAAAAAATAAGAGACACTTCTCCATGGAATATAGTACCCAATTAATTATGATGAACTATATTGGAGAACATGAATTAAAAATGCCTAAAGAGACATGAAAAAGTTTGACTTGTGGGAAAATGTCAAAAAAACTCTTTGTAGTAGGGAAAGTATTCAAGAAGTATAAAGATGCTAAAATGTAATGTATATGGGCATCGAATCTGTGGACCAAACAACAAAAGACTGTTGTAGGTAAAAGCATGAAATGATAAGGACAACCTACAAAAGAAAGTGGTCTTAAAAAGTTGATAAGCTTCTGTGTAAAGTTTGATATCTTGCTAATGCAAACTGGGACTATACTACAGCAATATAAGGATCATTCTATAGTGACCTAACATACAGTATATGAATTCATTAAAAACAAAAAACAACAAAACAAAAAAAACCCCAAACCAAAAAAACCCACCTGTATTTAAAAAAATGGAAACATATCAAAAAGACTGGTTGAGTGTGGAAGCTGATTTCGAATACAACAGCATTGTTTTTGGTTAAACTCAAAAGGCATTCCATTCATTGTAAAGGTATCAGCTATTTCAAACTGTGAAGACAACCCAAGCTTTAAGATTCCTTGACAATACTACAGGAACCCTGAGCCAAACATTGGAATTGAGAATGTGCTGGAAGGCAAGAGTATGATTGTAGATCAAGGGCCTGCATCTGATACAGGAAGTAGAAAGGAGGAAGAGGAGGACGAAGATGAGAATGGGAGAAAAGAAACTTCTTTACCAGTAGATATTGAAGAGACTGAAAACTTGGTAGTGTTGGGACTATAAAGAATTACTTGTTTGGATTTGAGAAATATTTTGATCAGTATTATACCATTCCCAGTATTATAGAAGGAATAGACTTGATTTTTTTTTTAAGTGGAGAAAGGGAAAAGCAGTAGAATTCAGAAATCAGAATATGCATCTCTTTAAAAAATGTAAAACTGGAATTGTCTGATATTTAAAAGTAACATTTAGGACCTCCTCATTATTAAGGGAGTTTGTTTTCTACTGGTTTAAGGTAAGAGACAACCCCCAACTGCCAAAATCAGATATCATGTAAGTATTTTTGTGAGGCGGGCGCCAGTTTTTCTTTTTCGAGTCGCGAACGCTGTGCGTTTGTCAGAATGAAGTATACAAGTCAATGTTATTTTTTTCCTTTTTATATAATAATTATATAACTTATGCATTTATACACTACGAGTTGATCTCGGCCAACCAAAGACACAAAAAAGGGACAATCAAAAATATTGTGGCCTTGAATTTTAACTCTGTATGCTTAATGTTTACATTATGAACTTATTAGTACTTAGAATGCAGAATGTATGTAATAAAATAAGCTTGGCCTAGCATGGCAATTCAGATTTACACTGTAGTCTGTATTTGCATTTGTAGTGACCAAGATGCCTATTAGATCTTCTTCCTAAATGGTTTAAATATTTTAAAATATTCTGTTTTAATTTTTTTTATTTATTTATGAATTTTAGCAATCATGAAAATGAGGGACAAATCCACACAGTTCTTTTAATACACCTGAATTCTGCCCTACAGCACCTCTGTTGTTTCTGTCCTGAGATTCTCTTGAGTGGAGATTGTCAACTGTGCCAAATTTTTTGATGGCTTTGTGGCCAAACATGAAAATTAAGTCTAGAACTGGGGGAAGACTGTGATCCAGAAATTCTTTTTCATCATCATATGAGAAATCCCAGCCTACGTCTTACTACTATATTAGAGTTTGTTTAACTATCATACAATCTTGCTATTAACACATAACCACTCCAGAGGTGATCCCAGCAATTACAGGCCGGTAAGCCTGACTTCAGTACTGAGTAAACTGGTTGAAACTATAATAAAGAACAATATTGTCAGACATATAGATGAACATAATATGTTGGGGAAGAGTCAATATGGTTTTTGTGAAGGGAAATCATGCCTCACCAATCTACTAGAATTCTTTGAGGGGGCCAACAAGCATGTGGACAAGGGGGATCCAGTGAATACAGCGTACTTAGATTTTCAGAAAGCCTTTGACAAGGTCCCTCACCAAAAGTTCTTAAGCAAAGTAAGTTGTCATGGAATAAGAGGGAAGGTCCTCTCATGGATTGGTAACTGGTTAAAAGATATGTATAAATGGTCAGTTTTCAGAATGAAGAGAGGTAAATAGCGGTGTCCCCCAGGGGTCTGTACTGGGATCAGTCCTATTCAACATATTCATAGATGATCTGGAAAAAAGGATAAATAGTGAGGTGGCAAAATTTGCAGATGATACAAAACTACTCAAGATAGTTAAGGCCAGGCAGACTGCAAAGAGCTACAAAAGGATCTCTCAAAACTGTGTGACTGGGCAAAAAAATGGCAGATGAAATTCAATGTTGATAAATGCAAAGTAATGCACATTGGAAAACATAATCCAAATTATACATATAAAATAACGGGATCTAAATTAGCTGTTACCACTCAAGAAAGAGATCTTGGAGTCATTGTGGATAGTTCTCTGAAAACATCCACTCAATGTGCAGCAACAGTCAAAAAAGTGAACAGAATGTTGGGAATCATTAAGAAAGGGATAGATAATAAGACAGAAAATATCTTATTGCCTGTATGTAAATCCATGGTACGCCCATACCTTGAATACTGCGTGCAGATGTGGTCACCCCATCTCAAAAAAGATATATTGGAATTGGAAAGGGTTCAGAAAAGAGCAACAAAAATTATTAGGGGTATGGGACGGCTTCTCAGCTTGGAAAAGAGATGACTAAGGGGGGAGGTATGATTGAGGTCTATAAAATCATGACTGGTGTGGAGAAAGTAAATAAGGAAGTGCTATTTACTCCTTCTCATAACACAAGAACTAGGGGTCACCAAATGAAATTAATAAGAAGCAGATTTAAAACAAACAAAAGGAAATATTTCTTCACACAACACACAGTCAACCGGTGGAACTCTTTGCCAGAGGATGTTGTGAAGGCCAAGACTATAACAGGGTTAAAAAAAAAACTAGATACATTCATGGAGGATAGGTCCATCAATGTCTGTTAGCCAGGATGGGCAGGGATGGTGTCCCTAGTCTCTGTTTGCCAGAAGCTTGGAATGGGCGACAGTGGATGGATCACTTGATGTTTGCCTGATTCCCTCTGGGGCACCTGGCATTGGCCACTGTTGGAAGACCGGATACTGGCTAGATGGGCCTTTGGTCTGACCCAGTATGGCCGTTGTTATGTTGATATTAGTAAATAAAATGAAGAATGAATAACTTCCATTATTCCTCACTTTAAAACTGAGCGAATGATAGCTTCTCAGTTTGTCATTACAATCCATCTTTAGTGTTTAAACTGGGTAGAATATTTTCTTTGTATTCTAGATTCAGAGTATTTCCACACTGTATATGGGGCCCAGATCCACATTTAGTATATAATGGCATAACTCCATTTTTTACACCAACTGAGGAGCTGGCCTTGTCCTTTAGGAATGGCTCTCCACAGCAAGCAGTGTTTATTGTGAAGAATACATACAATTAAGACTTCAAATGATGTCCCCTTCTTTGCTTTTCTTCTGAACCATTTAGTTAGATGGGTATGGTTTCATATTTTATTGTGAATATTTTGTATAGCCATTTTTCATTTTGATCATCCTTGCAATGCAACAAGAACTTAGTTGCCAGACCTCCATGTTCTGGATATCTTGGCAATAGTCTGTAAATGTCGGATTACATTTAAGACTTTGAGCATTACTCAGATTGAAAGCAACAGCACAATCAGTCATACAGTAGTAGCTGGAAAAGATCCATTCAGAGCATGCAGCTCTTAAAAAAAGAAAAACTAACTGAAAGGTTACAAGAACTATGCTACTGGAAAAGGTTAGTCACTTGCTATTTTAGAAAGTCAAGCCAGGCACACCTACCTTCTGAATATAATAATAATAGTCTGCTTTTCTGTGGAAACTCATTTCTACAAATGTCTGATATTACATTGTGCACACTACAGTAAAAAAAATGTTTATTATTGAACCACCTTTTAATTAAACATTTTTAAAATCCAAATAAAACAGCAGATGTATTTAAAGAAATCATCTGGAAGGGGCATAGGAGTATTCACAATAGTGCCCATAGAGTTTTAGGCCTGGTCTACACTACGGGATTAATTCGGATTTAGCAGCGTTAATCCGAATTAACCCTTCACCCGTCCACACTACAGAGCCAGTTAATTCGAATTAAAGGGCCCTTTAAATCGATTTCTGTACTCCACCTCGATGAACGGAGTAGAGCCTAAATCGATTTTGTTAATTCGAATTAGGGTTAGTGTGGCCGCACACCACCGAATTACTGTGTTTAAGTTAATGGGGTAGTGTGGCCGCACACCACCGAATTAATGTGGTTAAAAACCGAATTAAGGTGCTTAGTGTGGCCACGCACAATCGAATTTATACAACCTGTTTCCCAAATTCGAATTATCTAAATTCGGATTAATCCTGTAGTGTAGACATACCCTTAGAATATATCTCCTCGCTGCTCTTATCTGCAACAGGAACGATGGGTCTAATGCCTCCATTTTGACCCTGGCAGAGATTGCTTGGATCAAGATGAAGTATCGCGTCACAGGTTGGAACCTGTGGCCAGTGTAGGCTGCACCTCTTAACAATTAAGAGAAAAATCCTTGGGTGTGCCATCCCTGGGGATCCTGCTTGTAAAGCCAGTTGAACTGGCCATAGGAAGCTTGCTTCAGTGTAGGAGCGATGCCACCTCTCTGTCTCTGCTACTGGTGTAAGTGATGTGGCCAGAGGGTAAGGAGTGTGGCCAGGAGTATGGCCAGGACATTCAGTGGATGATTCCTAAATGCCAGTTCAGCCCACGGCACAGATGGTTCCAATTACCAACTTCTAAGAGCTTCCTCAGCAACCTTTACATTCTTTTTCTGTGTCTAGCATATTCCACCATTTGGATCCTGCAGATCTTCTTAGCCTCAAGCCCTAGATTCTTTGTATATTCTGCGTGGAGACAAAATTTTGAGTGAGTGCTGAACATTCCTTGCTCAGTTCATATTGTGCTAAAACTCTTACAATAAGGCTTAAATTGTGCAAACGTCTAAACAGAGAAAC